TCTTACTTATTGATCAGGACTTGTAAGTATGTCTTACATATTAATCGATTGGAAGAATCGATTACAATCAAATCGAGTATATCCACACATTTTGAATGAACTGAATCACATTAGGATTTGGAAGAGCCTGATTGATTTAAACAATATCGATTTTTGATCCTTTCACTGACATTGATTCAAATGAGATTGACAAGCTTATTAGAATGAAGTTTTATTTGATGATACATACAAAAAAATCGAAATAGACTGTTGGATCTTGAACGAGATTGATATGGGTCTGAATTGATTTCTGACCAAAAAATTAGAACTTGAAATAGACGTCAAGAATAGAGATGAGATCTTTTAAAAACATTGATTGCTTTGTCAAGAATCGAGATTTCGAGATGTTCTGGTTCCTTATCTCTTTGCACAGATTCATGTTGTTTAGCTTGTCTTCAACATTTGTATGTACTCATTTTCTTTGTTGTTTTCATTGCTCATCGTTCTACTGAGGATGAAACGAGTTTGAACGCAACCACATTCCCAATTTGGACGGTGCTCTTTGAGAGCAGTCTGTACATCTGTATGGACTTCCGCACTTTCCACGTCCGCACTAAATTTTTCCGCCCCTCGCCCAGGCTCCAATTCTTTGGACTTAAGGGTCGCACATGAGTGGCGTGATAAGATGGTTGATTAGGAAGAAGAACTCGAGTTGAACAACCATAGATCTTGGCTAAGCTTTCTTCCGAATTCAACCAAGTTGTTTTCATCGAATCTCCTGTGGTTTCATCAAAGTAATAAGTGTTGGATATGTGATATGTTCTGTCCTATATGTACACTTCCTACGGCTAAGGTTGTCAGTGCCACTCGCCATTCTGGGTGGACTTAAGGGTCGCACATGAGTGGCGTGATAAGATGGTTGATTAGGAAGAAGAACTCGAGTTGAACAACCATAGATCTCGGCTAAGCTTTCTTCCGAATTCAACCAAGTTGTTTTCATCGAATCTCCTGTGGTTTCATCAAAGTAATAAGGAGTTTTCTTGGTCAGAGAGGGGTCCCTGGCTATCCATTCTGAGTCTAAAAGATTATCGATCCAATTGCTAGGCTTCAATGACCTGAGGCCTGAGGGTCCCAGATGAAGAATATGAGTCTATATGAGTGGGGCGATTATTAAAGGGACAATGAGTGGAGTTACTATTGATGACAAAGAAATACATATCACGATTAATTGGGAAGCTGATAACAAAAACAAGTTTTGAGTGCCATCGTATCATTACCGACGGAGTGGAACTGGAGGAAGGGTCTTTTGAAGTTCACATTTTGGAGACACTACTTGCTACATAAATCAGTGATACATGGCCAAATCGTCAGATACAAACCAAAGAGGCAGTTTCAGGGGTCGAGATTTGATTCAGCTATCAAAAATAGACCAGTGTAACTAATGATCAGATTTTTTTCTCGGTCAATGAGCTGGAGCCTTTCTGTTAAAGATGACTTGGAAGCCAAAACTTTGGATCTTTCTTTGATTGTCCTAACCCAACAAGATCAAGGATAGTCAAATGGACTTTGATTGGGAAGAGATGCATAGCTGGTGGTCATTATTGGGTCATCAGTCATAGAAGATGAATCGAGAGAGAGTCAAGCGATCAAGAGTCGATCTGCAATCTCCATGGAGAGTTGTTGAGTAGAATCTGTTGACCGTTGATCAGTGAACCTGATTTCAAATCTTAAGCGGTCTTGTTTCTGTCTTTGTTCTTCTACTTTTGATTTCCTTTCATTGATAATCATTATACAAAGGTGGCTATGAAGCTATGAAGCTGCTTCCTGACTCTGAGGATCATCCCTGAGGCTCATGAACTCTTGACCAGTCGCTCCTAGCATCTCTCAGTCTTTGCTGAGTGGCATACTCAGCAATGGAACTAACTCGAACTAAAGTTGGAAGAAAGTTGAAACAAAGTAGGAGTCTCTGCCCTTCTCGACGTCGAGAACGTGTGTGGTGGACGCAGTGTATGGGGCAATCACATCAATACGCAGATTATATTGTCGTATCTTATAATTTTTGAATCAAATACAAAATAGACTCGCTGCACAAATGCGACAATCTCTTGTTCGATATGGTTTGAAGCTAACTCATCTAAGATCTGATGATTTAAAACAATATCATCATCCAATAGACCGTTTGATCGCATTACAAATCAAATCAAGATAACAAAAAAGGAAAGACTTCATGATAGCTTGTTAACATGGAATTGATAAAACATCAGGGCATGGACCATGATCCGAGCACTTGTTCCGTGAGAGATGCCCCATTTACGCAAAAGTTCCCTATTGATATAATCGACAAACAAAAATAAATCAAAATGATTGACTCCGTTGGCCTGAAGTATCGGAAGGACATTCTCGATCTCGTTGTGTTCCAAACAGGCAAATTTCAGATAATCCTCCAACGTCGTTAAGCTCATGATTCGTCGAAGATCGGAAAAGATCACGTAACCGCCATCTATTGGGAAAGCTACATAGAAAGTAAGCTTTTGTTTTTGTTCTCTAGCAAAGGGCTCGACGCTTACGTATCACATCAAATGGGTTTCCGGTAGGTGCGACCTCAGGAGTCGCATTTGCTTTGATCACAGGTGAGTGGTCCATATCCTCCACAGGCTCAAGTCGTATCAGAGATACGAATCGACTTTCTGATGTATCTGAATCGCTGAAAGCCAGGAAAAGACATGGTCGTGATCAGTTAAAGGGTGGCCAGCTTAACAACAACACACTCACGAGTCTTTAGCAAAACCCAGGAAGAAATCTCGCTTGCGCTTGTGTGATTGGGTGTGAGTTTGGGATGGTGACATTGGGCAAGTTGCAAATTTTTGAAGGTGGAACGGTGACTCCAGAATTTTTTTTTCAAAAAGAGCAGATTTGGGCACCAGATCCAATCTCCTGTCAAAGCGTGGGTGCCACTTGAGATCTGTCAAAAGTGGCACCATCCCTCCCTGGGGACCCTTTTTTGGCCTGGGGCAACTCGCCACACTTGGAACAAATCGATTCCGGCCTTCCAGCCAAAAACTCACATCCCCAATCAATCGTTCAAATTCATGGCCACCGATTTGCCTTTTAATTTCAGTAAGTTACTTGCCTTTCACACGTTCAGTTGTGATTGACTGACCATAATGCTTGCTATCAAGGCGCTCAATTCGGAGGCCGAGGTTCTCTTGACCTCGGCAATGGCCTCGATTCGCCATCTCGAGGCGGAACCATGGTTATTCAAAGTTTCAATAACCATGGGTCACTTAGGAACGACTCGTTCAGTGAGTTGACAAACTCACAGAACCCTCATCAGTACTGACCTCGAGTGTGATCTTCTTCAGCCTCTTTGGACTCACCTACACCTAGAAATGACGGTGGGGACATACCTCGAGGTTGGGAGTTCCAGAGGACTCCTAACCACGAAGCTAACCCAGGCCGAGAGGAGGTTCTTCCTCGCTTTCGAGAACGCGACGAGCGCTCACGTTCCCCATCAGGCCAAACGCGCGGCCCCCGAGATGATCCTCAGTGGCCACCTCGCGGATTTCCCAATCAATCAGAGTTGCGAGCATCAAATCAATCCGACACGCGAGGATCACGTGGAAACGACCTACCAAACGGCCCGAGTTCAGGAGATCAAGTCGTTGACGTTACCCAAACCTTCTCTTGCCCACTCCCTGCGCCAACAATGCTTACGCTGCAGGCATTGGCCACGCGGTGCGGCCTAGAAGGCCCATTCCACGCTTATGCGATTGCTCAAGCAGAGGTAAAATTCTCTGAAGTCTTACCTTTCTGTGATCGATCAGTATGATTGACTTTCTTTTTGATGTTTTTTTCTTCTCATCTGTCAAACTACCATCGCCAAAGGTCTTTGGCGAAAACAATCAGCATCTTGCTCAAGTCACCGCAGATTCAAGACTGTTAATGGAGATAGTACATGTCAATAGTAAGATTGACACGTTGAGTGAACAAATGGTCACAATGACCAGGGCCGTCATGGAACTGGCCTCGCAACCAGAAACCGAACGAGGATCGGCTTCCGGATCAGCCACTGCCATCGTGCTAGGATCCGCTGCAGACAAATCTACCGTGAAGCCCCAGTGGAAGGCAAGCCCAAAACTTCTCGTAAGTGTATTTCAAAATCTTTCGAATCAGATTCTGGACCATTGGCTGAAATGTCAATTTTTTTTTCCAAGGGGTTGATCAACCCCTTGGCCCTTAAACTGCTATTCTCCCCCGTCCTTGAGGCGTATACCGCCGTCGAGAACGGTTCGGAAGGCTATCTTCCGAACTCGTTATTTAATACTATGAAGGTAAGACACTGATTCATCATATTCATATTGATGAATCAGTGTCTCTGCTAAATCGCTCTGTTTCGTATCATCTAGAAAAAAGTGGCCAAAAAAGGGCAGGTGTTTGCCGCTGAACACCTGCCTCGTCAAGTCTGTGGAGTTGAAGAAGCGCCCGACACACAAGCGTACGCTAGCGCCTTGCGATTGGCGGGCAAACACGCCAGGGAAAAGTTGCACAACATGGTAGGTTGTGTTTCCTTCTCCTTCTCACATTGGTCGCGTTTTGGAACAATGCAACTCCAACTCACGACCGAAACAGCTCTTGGTAGGCATATTTGACTCTAAAACCAAAGAGAACGTAGACATTCCGGTTCCCCATATAACAGGGATGGTGCAACGAGTAAGTCATCTCATTTCCCTTCATATAATCATTCGATTAACTGCAAGTCATTGCAATCTAGGTTGCTGTGAAGTGTGCTGTTGCTGGGGAGAAGGCCGAAGTCGACGCAGTGTGGGCAGCCACCGATCTGCCCACAACGGGACGAATCACATATCTCGTGAGTCCAACAGTTTTTGGAAATCCATCAAACTCCTCGCTTATACACTTTATTTTTGTGCTCAGCGTCGGGAAGCCGCACGGGTGATGCTCAAAGGGGGTAGAGGATCTGAGTCAGTCTGGCGTGCAGTTGACAAGAAGCTTTCCAAGGTGCGATTGAAGGGCAACAAAGATTATACTACGGCGTGAGCAAACATATTATATGTATGTATATGATTTTTCAAACATTGCTGACATCACATCGTTTCACACGCAGCTTCTATCAGATTGTCTATGATGAGGACCGCCAGTTATTCGATGGGAAACTTTGGTTTAAAGACCTGAAAACGCGCGAACCGAAAGTCACTTTAGACTTGCCATCCAAGGAGGCCATCATGGCGCGCATGTCTTCAGGTAATGCGAGGCCATCTGGATCTGATACCACCTCGGTTGGGAATCCAATAGTTAATTAATTAAACTATTAGCTTTTTCATCATTTTGCTTTTCATTCAATCAATAAAATACCACTTTAATTGTGATACGGGTCATTTTTTTATCTTTGAAGTTTGGTCTAATTGAACGGATCTCTATGTACATAGACTGCTACTGTGGAATCAATCATACGTTGGTTATCAAGTCACTGTTTCTGTGTCAATGAGCCTCGTAGCTGATTTGAGGTGACCTGAGTGATCAGACTGATCTGAGTGATCAGACTGATCTGCCCCTACCCGGAAAATGACCCAGCCAGCAGCGAGTCCGATACCTGAATACCCGGGGGATGTGTCGGGCCAGCAAGCCTGCTGACCGTCGGCAGACGGATTCCAGCCGGCCTGCAGGCAAAAACTAGCCGGCCTGCAGGCCGGGCCAGCAGGCGTCTGGCAGGCGTCTCGCGTGAGGGCCATCTGCAGACGGCCTGCCCCTATGCAAGCGCTGGCGGTCTGCAGCTGGCCTGCCATGGCCGGCTGTAGCCGGCCAAGACACCTCTGTGGTGTATTTGATGCCCTTTTTTAATTACACAACGCCCGGTTTGAACTAAAACCGGGCGTCTTCGCGAATGTCAGAACATCAATGTTTTCCTTCACATTTTTCTCGCCTCCTGATTGTACTTCACATGCAATTTCATGCAATTTCACGTCTCAATGTGAGACATTTCAGCGTGAGCGTGAATTTCACAAAAACGGACGCAGATCACAGATCAGTCCATGGGATGGATTCCCAAGAACAATAAAAACACACATAGACTACCAGACACATAAACGTGAGTCAAAAACAACCAAGAAGAGGAAACTACAATTCATGACAGAGAAAGACAAGTTCTTGGCCCGCCCTGATTTGCCCACTTAGCTAATCCATCCCAATACACTTCGACCCAATTGGGAATCTTGGTCGCGTCCAGCGTAGCTGCGTTCCGGTCCTTGCCAAAAACTTGAGGCATGGGCAGTGCCCGATGCTTGTTGACACCCAAACTAACAAAGTGGTTTTTCTTTACAAACGCCAGTACAATTGGATCTGGTTTGACCTTTTCGGGTAAGGTACGATAAGGGAAGAAGGTACTGCAATTTTCTTTTTTTGGTTCGAAAAGTACCACCGGACGATTGTAAGTACTTGCAATGGTATACCCAAGATAGGGCATTCTCATCCAGTAGTCTTCGGCGCATTCGACTTCCTTAAAATCCAGACGAAAGAGCAGGTCATTGACCACCTCAGTGCCAAAGGGTTGGAATCTGGTGCTTCGCCTCTTGGACGGGGCCGGCGATATGAGGCGTTCGTGATCCTCGCGATGTTTTGAAAGCTCTGCAAGTAAATCTATTCTAACATCAAGATATGACTCTGTGGAATAGTTCCTGATTGATGCCGCTACAGCATAATACCCGCAGTTTCCGTAAGCAGGCAGATCAAAACTGGAGTCGATATACGGAACCACAAATGCGGGAAGCTCCTTCAAGATGTTTGGCTGTGGTAGAGAAGAAAGTCTAGATTTCTCGCATGGCCCACTTGAAGAGGAAGGTTCAAGGTTTTGATCATCGGTTGAGAACACCGCCGTTCCAAATACTCGGCTTGATTCGAGGGTAGTATTGACTTTTGGATCACTCGGTGGCAGGTTCAAATCTTCAGCAATGAGTAATACAGCAAGTTCGGGGACCAACACGCGACGCAGGAAGAAATCCACGGGGAAGGGTGCGACTTTGGTGGCGAGTAGTGGTGTTTTTGACCCTTCAGACAAAAAAATTTCGGTTAAAGTCTTGAGCATGACCTCAAAGCCAAGTGGCCCATAACTGAAATGGAAACATGAGTTTATTAGTGCCATGCCACACCACATTCCTACCAAAAACAAACTTACTAGCCCGGCTGCTCAACCTCAAATCCATCGAATTCACCAGCCATCGAGAACATGAAGCGACCTTGGGTTTTCCATTTCAGCTGAGCATTGTCCAAATAAGGTGATTGAATTTTGTGCTCAGCAATACCCAAAAGATGATCAGTATGCTTTCTAACGCGCCTATCAGTGACAGCCAAGTTAGTAGTTAGTAAAATTACCCACTACATAAAAACAAGGTATTATCTTACTTGGCCAGCAATACAAAGTCAATCGCAGTCGGCCATCCCTCACGGATTCCAAATGGTATGTAATCTCTTTCGGCTCGATGGAGTTCACAGAAAGCTGCCGTTTGGGGAAACTAAAGTATGTACCAATCAGCATCTCTAACAACCCAAGCTAACAACCAATAAAAGGAATGCTCACAGGTAGCGACTTTGCATTAGGCAAAGCAAGTAGGGATTTTTGCAGCTTCTCAAGTTTGTTGGAAGGTTCTGATGGAAGCGGTTCATCACAGTAAATGCATAAGTTGCCACTTTGGTCCGTGCTGCTGCTGCTGGAGTCGGAATCGTCTGATATGCTTAGGCTTAGCTCGCGGTCCAAAAATGAATTCGCTTGAGCAGGAATGGATGAATCTTCTGACACTTCATCATTGACCACTTGAGATTTGACTAGTACTAGGGATCCTGGAGGTGCGAGGGCTAGAGCCCGTGAGTTCTGGCTATTTCGACAATGATCAGCACAATGACCCGGTTCTTTGCATTTGCTGCACTTGTAGGACCGCTTGGCCTTCGAAGACGTAGATTGAGAAGGCAACTGGGACGATTCAACAGGTTCCTGTGAAGATGAAGAAGCAGAGTGGAGAGGAACTGGTAAATGAGCTTGTTTGGCAGCTTGAGTGGAATGAGGAACCTGCCCCTCATCTTGGCCTTTGGAATCTTCATCAAAAACAAGGTCAAAATTGGTGACATCTACAGATTCATCAGCAAGTCGGATTGGGCAGGTCTGTCGGTTGTGGCCGGTATTTGAACAATATCCGCAATTAGGACCACGTGCTTTTTTGGCTGCCCGCTCAGCATCTAGAGCCTTCTTTTTAGCGTCTTCGGTTTCCTCAATTTCAAATTGAGACTTCCATCGGGGATCCCTTTGAGATCCTGTACGTTTGTTTGTGGGAGGGCGCCCTCGATTATTGTGTTTAACCACGGCGTTTTCGATTGGAACCAGGGAATACCTTCCTGTTTCAATTTTGGCGAGGTCTTCATATAATTTACGGAGCGAATGTTCATCCAGTCCAATGATTTGCTCAAGCCTGGTCCTCATTGCCTTTTGGAGGTCCTCGAGAGTTGCTGGAGGTGGCACAAGAGTAAGATGCCATTGCTGGTGGCATAGATTGGGCGAAATGCATTTGGTATTGGATTGTTCAAAAATTCGGGCAAGCTCATGGGAACATGGGAGTCCCCACGCCCCACGGAACGATTTAGTACACTCCTTCTTAAATGAGTCAGAGATAAGGTTGTATTGCTTCTTAATTTTTTTAAGTGCAAAATGTGATATAACACCGTTCAACTCTTGAAAGCTACTTGGCAGCCCTAAAAGCGTCTTTTGGCTTTCAACACCGGTTAAAGTTGTAATCTCTTTGTATTGTGAATCCCCGGCGCGTTTGAAAGCCTTGAAGCAGGTAAGGAAGTCATTGTTGCTCCCATCTAAACAATTCTTCAGTCGGTGGTGCCCACCCTCGATCCGAGAAGTAGAGGAATTCCCAAAGTGTGGCGTTTGTGAGGTAAACAAGGCCACAAACTTTTCTGTTTGGTATAGCCACGTCTTTTCAAGGTATTCGAGAATATGGTGACGTCGTCCTAGTTTTTTCACAGTGTCGAGGTGTTCATTATAATCGGCAGTGGTGGTACTTTGCAAAAATCTATTCCAAGTCTTCATAAACGCATCCCAATCTGGCTTATTCATTTTTTTCTTGCAATTCTTTGCTATGTTATGGTTGATGTGCCATATGCACAGTATGTGGGTCGAGTTAGGAGAAACTTTTGCAATAGCATTGAACAAAGCCGCCTCGGCGTCCGTGCAGAAGGTTCGAGGGAAATCGGGGCCTTCGGAGTCAGTGTTGAACACCACTGACTTCAGTTGTTCCAACGCCCATACATAGCGTTCCTCTACCTCGCTGTGGAGGAAACAAAGCGCGATAGTAAATGTCTTGTGCGTGTTTGTTGTCCCAACGATGTGAAGAAGAGGTAGGTTAAACCTGTTGGTCTTGTAAGTACAGTCAAGACCGATCACAGTTGGGAAACAACGGGCCAATTCGATCCCTTCGGGGCTGGCCATAAAGAGTGATTGTAAGATGCCATTGCTTGAAGTAGTGGTGCAAAATGCCCACTTATGTTCAGTAATCAAGTCAAAAAGACCCTGGATTGGGGTAAGTCCGCACAGCCATACGTCTCGTTGTCTATAAAGAGCGTTCCGAATATCTCAAACTAGCGGTTCAGAGCCAGGTTTGAAGTTAATGAGACTTCGTATCTGCCCAGGGCGGCATCCAGCTGACGATAAGAGCTCAATCTGGCGTAAAATCTCTGGGGAAAATTGACGATTTTTAGAGAAGTTGTTAGGCTGGTCAAAAGGTGGATGGTTATGCTGATGTTTGTCTTCATTCTTCAAATCGTGCTGCACTACCCATTGGTCTTTACGTGAATGATAATTTAACGAAAGTTCAAACAAACAGCCGGTCATCTTGGTGGAAGTCGAGCGAACCGTAGCTACAGAGTTAACAGGGCGACCAAGGGGACACCGGAAGTATATTCTGACTTTTTGATGGTGTTCACTTTTATAAGTTTTAATAGATATTCCATATCCTTGATGTCAAGCCACGGCGTTAAGGTACATGATGCCACTGGCCATGGCAACAAATTGCTTGCCGAAAAGCGGTGATTGCAACAGTCGGACGGGTTCGACACCTATAATTTGAGTAAGAAACAAAGAAGAGCATGAAGTCAGTGATGATTGATGATGAGGAGTGTAAGTAAAATGGAAATTTATACCTATTGGGGGCCAATCAGTATCACGCTCGGATTGAAGATCTTCCAGCAGTTCTTCTTCTTCCGCATCGTCAGCGTCTGCAACTGCTGTAGTTCTTGGAGGATCGTCGACTAG